GCTGGGTGTTCATCTTTCTAACAAGCTTACCAGATGGATGGGAAGTGGTGTTTGCTGTGTATTTCCTCAACATATCAATATGTGAGGATGTGGTACAAAATATGGTTTTCCTGCAAATGAGCAAAACCATGCAAGAGGAGTATAAGCAATGTGTTTGTACTCTTAAAGAACTTTAGAAATTAGAAGGCCACTATTGACTTAAAACCTGCCCAGTGCTTTTTACTCGTCAAAATTTTAGAACTGATGTGATCAGGGTTGAAAAGATGCAATTGTTTCTGCTCTTCATCTAACTATTTTGAGAGCACTTAAAGGGTTCTTTCAGTCAAGAAACACAAGGACAACTGAAAAGCTATCTGCATTCATGGCCTTTGAATTATATATATATATATAAAAGAAACTGTAAATTTAGTCCACTCAAAGAAGCCATGCGTGTCAAGAGATTTTTCCAGCATTTTAGTGTGTATGTTATGACCAATGACCTTTCTTTGGCTGTAAATCAGTTAAGAATTAGGCTACAGTTGTGGTTTAATGGTCAACTGGCCATTATTTGAGAACTGTTATGGAATTAGTGATAGTAGCGATGCAATGATTTCTGATCATGGGATGTATTAGCAGGGAGAAATGGCCAATCGGCTTATAGGATCCTAGGAACTGTCTATTTCTTTTTCAGGATAAGTAAAACTGTCTTGACTTTTGTTTTAAATTCTTAGTGCTAGTACAAAATCTTTATTTTTTCTTTGTAAAAAATTATTGTTTCTCAGTGGCTCTTGTTCTTAGGGTATTGATCATGGGTTGCCTACGTTTCCCAGAAAAATAATAAAATGTTCTCCAAGCCAAGTGAAACTTATCTTATCATCCCAAGGAGAATAATGAAATGGCTCAAATGTTGAAAGATTCATGTTCTTATAGGTCAAAATTAGACGTTTATAGTCACCATATTGCTACTAGTGACCTATAAAAGTTTAATCTATGCCTAGGGCCGAGAAAACCAGATACCTTGGATGCTCATTGTAGTCTTGGTCATAAGTTTCCATCATCTTGCTGTCTCTGAGATGGAAGAGGAAACATTCTAAACCACTTACACTGGGAGAATTGAATCAGTTCCTCAGTTGAGGATGACTCCTTCGAACTGAGAGGTGGCATGTGTGAAACTTTGCCCATGAGCTAGTGTTGGACTTAAGCTGATTTGCTGGGAAATCTGACACTGCAGCTGAATAGAGGGCCCCTTGGTTCCAGGCCCAGTGAGATCCCATTTTTCTAAACTGTAAATAGAACATTCCTCAAATATATTAAAGAATTAGAATATTCTTTTATTTCTCAAAGAAAGTTCATAGGATCATGTTATGCTAGTGGAGTGGATGAGGCAAAGGCATCTGGTCTTTGCGAGGGTGTATTTTTCAATTTTTTTTTTTTTTTTTTTGAGAGGGAGTTTTGCTCTTGTTGCCCAGGATTGAGTGCAATGGTGTGATCTTGGCATTACTGCAACCCCTGCCTCCCAGGTTCAAATGATTCTCCTGCCTTAGCCTTCCAGGAAGCTGGGGTTACAGGCATGCACCACCATACCTAGCCAATTTTGTATTTTTAGTACGGAAAGGGTGTCACCATGTTGATCAGGGTGGTCTTGAACTCCTGACCTCAAGTGATCCACCTGCCTCAGCTTCCCAAAGTGCTGGGATTACAGATGTGAGCCACTGCAACCTGTCTGCAAGGGTTTAAATATCTCAAAAAAACTTGTTTTGTGGCTTCTGCTCTCTTCACTCTGTCAAATTATTATATATAAAACCATTGTTTTATAAAGGAATTTTATGAAGTAAATGTGAGGCCATGTACTGTCACAGGTAGAAGATTGAATTACATATTAGAAGACCTGGGTTCTAGGCCCAGTTCTTTTCTTTGGTAGTTGTTCAGCTTGATAAGGTCACTTGACTGCTCTGACATTCATTTTTTGTTTGTATAATGGTGGTTCAATTAGTGGCTGTTATCTATGACCTTGCCCCTTGTTGTTTAAATAATGTAGTTTCTCTAACTTTGCTCTTGGGAAGTACAAAAAGGCTAACTGTTGAGACCAGTTCCTTTTTTTCAGGCAAAATAATAAGAAGGACATTTTCAGTGCATTCTAAAATGTTTGGCTTAGAAAACTGTATAATAAAACCCAGGGCAGGGAGAGGGTAACTGTATCTTAAATGTGATAAGAATACAGTCATTGTTTCACAAGAAATTGGGTCATGGTCATACAAATGGAAGAAGAAAAATTGTTATGTGGACCAGACAGGTGGTCTTTGGAAAGAAATGAATCCATGTGCGGGCAAGGTGTGTTATTAGCTAGCTTAGAATAAAACCAGCCTTGACTAATGTAAAACAACCATGGTTTTCCCTGGATCAGAGCTCAACCGTACTTCTGGTGGAACTTCTTTTTAATGAAGCCAGTGGAATGAAGACAAAAGCCACGGATGTTTAGGAAATATGTGAAGCTGTGCAATTTACAAGATGAAAAAACAAACCAGGAGACTGGAATATGTACAGCTATCCAAGCTGGAGAAATAGCAAAGCCAGTCAATTCCTTTGGAATTTCTTCTTTCTGGACAGTAGTAGAGGCATACCTTATATGGCAGAAAGGAGGAGGCTAAAGACTTGTATTATACTAATTTTGCCCAAAACATCTAACTCCTTCAGTCCATGGGTCCCTGATGTATCCCTCTCAGTGGGGACCACATTGCAAAGTGTAAAATACAAATGATATATAATTGGGCCACATGGTAACAGCAGAAAGCAACCAAGAGTTTCATGCTCTTTTATGACCTTAAAAAATAAATCACTGAACCTCTTCTTAAAACTATTAACAAGAAATTAATGCAATAGAGGTCCTCACCTTATTTCCAATCCTCTGGGAAAAGTTGTGTAATGGTTTGATATTTTTGTTTTGCTTCTGACCCGGAACCACATTCAGGCAAATTAATCCTAGTTTCTGTATCATATCCTTAAAAGGAAAAGAGCAGGGAATGGAGTCAGGGCAAAGCTTGGGAAATGAGCAGCACTGGGGATGGGGTGGAGGATCTACTGAAGTTTGAATTATGTTCCTTTTACTCTGCATGTCACCATGTCCCTTAAGTCACAAAGGACAGCTTTGCCGTTATTATCCTGTTCTACTGTCCTTGTTTCTGATTTCTGCTGGGAGACACAACTCAGTTGGGTGCCTCATTTGTGTTTCCTTTTCCAGCTTTCTGGTCTGCTTAACTCTTGGTTCTGGAGGTATTCTTAATTTCATCAATTCTTGTTGTGTTCTTAGAGTTTGCAATGATTGCCCCAGCCCATCTCTCAGGAAAGAGGGATTTGGACGTTGACTGTGTTGTTGCATGGTCGCCTCTCACCTGTCTTAGGTGAGATGGTACACGAAGATGTTGCTTGGAACTAGATGGGTGAATGTCCTCAGAGACATGACAGCAGTGGCAGGTAGTACTACTGTTTCAGCAATCAAAAGACCTCTTCAGCAATGGCTGCTTCAGAACGGCACAACTGACCAACTGGCTAGAATGACCACCACCAAAAAACAAGAAAATAACCCTAAATTCAAAACTCACTGATATCCCTGCATATTAGAGTTCATGAAGATTAAATTAGGTTAGCACATAGTAGGACATTCAAAAATATGAGTTTCCTTCCTTTTCTCTAAAAGAGAAACGCTTTACAAATGTTTTTGAACTTTGAAATTGTGGGTGTCACAAATAGAAGTCAAGTCCAGACAGCAAGACTTTCAGTGGCATTTACCTGGCTCAGGGTAGGAAAGGTTTCCTCCGTTGTTGTCAGAGGAGGAATCCTGATGGTGGATGCTGTGAAATCCTAATGTAATTATTTTAACAGTGTTCTTCACATATGGCTTGTGATACTCTTATTAAATATCTGTTGAGTATACAGTTACTGTCAGCACTGTTAATATGAATTCATTAAATATTAACCTTTAATCCAATTTTATAGCTGAGTGGCACTGTTACTTACTTATTTCTTCAAAGGTGGTAACTTCTATCAGCCCCTAGACAAGTATTAGTGGATGGAGCACAGGTCCAGGATTCGTGGCTCTGCCACATGTTTGAAGACCTAGTCAGAAGACTGTCTAGATGCCAATTTTTCCATCTAACAGCACTGCATGCTCTACATAACTTGGAGTTTAGTGAGGATCAAGAGAGGTTGTAGAAATTAGAGTGCTGAGACGGCAAAAAGCCTAATGGGGAAAAAAATCTGACAACTTTTTAATGACTTTTCTTTCAATATAGTTCCCATGCTTTGAATCAGTTTGGTCTTTCAAACTAACCTCTTTATTTAAAGTACAGATATATCTCAGAATTACGGCAAGTTTGATTTCAGACCACTGCAATAAAGCAAATATCACAATAAAGCAAGTCATACAAATTTCTTTCTTTCCTAGTGCATATAAAAGTTATGTTTATACTATACGATAGTCTATTATGTGTGCAATGCCATTTTGTCTAAAAAACAACATACATACATTAATTAAAAAGTACTTTATAGCTTAAAAAAGGCCAATGATCCCCTGAGCCTTTAGTGAGTCATGATATCTTCCTGGTAGAGGGTCTTGCTTCAGTGTTACTGGCTGCGGACTGATCAGGGCAGTGGTTGCTGAAGGTTGGGGTAGCTGTGGCAACTTTTCTTTTCATTTCTTTTCTCTCTCTCTCAACAGACTCTTGCTCTGTAGCCCAGGCTAGAGTGCAGTGGCGTGGTCTTGGCTCACTGCAACCTTCGCCTCCCAGGTTCAAGTGATTCTCCTGCCTCAGCCTCCCGAGTAGCTGGGAGGCACACTCCACCATGCCCAGCTAAGTTTTGTATTTTCAGTAGAGACAGGTTTTCACCATGTTGGCCAGGCTGGTGGTCTTGAACTCCTGACCTCAAGTGATCTGCCCACCTCAGCCTCCCAAAGTGCTGAGATTATAGGTGTGAGCCACTACCCCCAGCCTTGCTGTGGCAATTTCTTAAAATAAGACAACACAGTGCTTGCTTTGGTAGTACATATACTAAAATTGGAACAATACAGAGATTAGCGTGGTCGCTGCACAAGGATGTCATGCAAATTCATGAAGCATTCCATGTTTTTTTTTTAAAAAGACAACAATAAAGTTTGCTGTATTGATGGACTCTAATACATTCCTTTTGTGACTTCACAAAAGGAATGTAGCATACAATACTGTTTCATAGCATTTTACCCACAGTAGAACTTTTTTCAGAATTGGAGTTAATCCTCTCAAAGCCTGCTACTGCTTTATCGACTAAGTCTGGGAAGTGTTCTAAATCCTTTGTTGTCATTTCAGCAATGTTCACAACATCTTCACCAGGACTAGATCCATCCCAAGAAACCATAAGAGACATATGCTCATCTATAAGAGACAACACCTCATCAATTAATGTTTTATCATAACATTGCAGCAATTCAGTCATATCTTTAGGCTCCACTTCTCTTGCTCATTGTACCACATCTGCAGTTACTTTATTGAAGCCTCGAACCCCTCAAAGTCATCCATGAGGGTTGGAATTAACTTCTTCCTAACTCTTGTTAATGTTGATATTTGACCCCCTCCCATGAATGACAAATGTTCTTAATGGCATCTAGAATGGTGAATCCTTTCCAGGAGGTTTACCATTTATTTTGCCCAGATCCACCAGAGGAATCACTATCTTGGGTGGCTAGAGTCTTATGAAGTGTATTTCTTAATTAATAAAACGTGAATGTCAAAATTATTCCTTGATCCCTGAGCTGAAGAATAGTAGTTGTGTCAGCAGGCATGAAAACAACTTTAATCTCCTTGTGCGTCTCCATGACAGCTCTTGCGTTCCTACTTACATTTTCAATAATTGGTAATGTTTTGAAATGTATCTTTTTTTCCCTCAGCAATAGGTCTGAAGAGTCTGAAGAGTGAGCTTAAAACAATCAATAAACCACGCTCTAAACAGATGTGTTGTCATGCAGGGTTTTTTGTTCCATTTGTAGAGTACGGGCTGAGTAGATTTAGCATAATTCGTAAGAGCCCTAAATGCAGCTGATGACTTTAAGTTGAAGCCAATGATCTTTTGGAATTGTAAAAGATCATTGGCTTCAGCGTAAAGTCACCAGCTGCATTTGACTCAAATATGAGAGACCACCTGTTCTTTAAAGCTTTGAAGCCAGGCATTGACTTATCCTCTCTAACTATGAAAGTCTTACATGGCACTTGTAAGACTAATTTAAAGCTGTTTCATCTACATTGAAAATCTGTTGTAGCCATGCTCATCAATGGTCTTAGCTAAATCTTCTGAATAACTGCAGCTTCTCCATCAGTACTTGCAGCTTCACCCCTTACTTTTATGTTATGGAGATGGCTTTTTTCATTCAAACTCATGAACCAGCCTCTGCTAGCTTCAGACTTTTCTTCTGCAGCTTCCTCTCTCAGCCTTCATAGAATTCAAGAGAGTTAGGGCTTTGCTCTGAAATAGGCTTTCGCTTAAGAGAATGTTGTGGCTAGTTTGATCTTCTATCTAGACCACTTAGACTTTCTCCATATCAGCAGCAAAACTGTGTTGCCTTCTTATCATTCATGTGTTCACTGGAGCAGCACTTTTAATTTCCTTCGAGAACTTTTTCTTTGCATTCCAATTTGGCTAACTGGTACAAGAAACCTAGCTTTTGGCTTGTCTCAGCTTTTGATATGCCCTCCTCAAATATAAAAAAAAATCATTTCTAGCTTTTGATGAAAAGCGAGAGACATGTGAGTCTTTTTCACGTGAACACTTAGAGGTAATTGTAGTGTTATTAATTGACCTAATTTTAATATTATTGTGTCTCTGGTAATAGGGAGGCCTTAGGAGAGGGAGAGAGGTGAAAGAAAATCATCAGTCCCACGGAGAAGTCAGAACACACACATCGATTGATTAAGTTTGCCTTCTTATGTTGGCTCAGTTTGTGGTGCCCCAAAACAATTGCAATAGGAACAGCCAGGATCACTGATCACAGATAGCCATAACAGATATAATAATAATAAATAAGTTTGAAATATTGTAACAATTATCAAAATGTGACACAGACACACGCAGTGAGCACACACTATAGGAAAAAGGGCACCGAGAGGCTTGCTCGCGCAGGTTTGCCACAAATCAATTTGCAAAAAATGCAGTATCTGTGAAGCACAGGAAAGAGAAACACAATAAAACAAGGTTTGTCTGTATTAAATAATTTCTTTATCTTTTTGTTATTATAAAAACCTGTGTAATTGCTGGCCAGTTATTCTGAGCACCCTGAGGTGTAAATCATATATTTTCTCTAAAGCAGGTTAACGAAACATTCAATCACAAATCACCTTTTTAAAAGTTAATTCATTGTGCTAAAATTGACTCTTTATAATTTTGTAATATTACATATCATTTGCTAAACATTTTTACTAGGTTTGTAGAATTTTTTTGACCTGTGGGAATTGATAAGCATTAAGCTATGGGTGGTGATTTTCAGTGTCTCTCTCTCTTTCTTTCTTTCTTCATATATGTACATAGGTCCCTATATATTGCAAAGATCTTCCTTAAAATAAATTGTAAAGTGAAATCTGCATATGTGAAGTAGCTAAAATATTGCTGACACTTTTGAGCAGCACTCTCCCTTTGCCTATTACCATTACCACTAATGACTCCTCAGGTGCTGCCATGGAACTCTTGGGGTCTGAATTAGGTAGTTGAGAGCCATTGGACCAGCAGACAAAAGATGAAGAAAAGCATTTGGATAACTTCTTGATACAGTATCCTCTGTCCTCCTCTCACATGTACTAGTAGGTAGTAAGCAACTGGGGTAGTAGTCAATGGGGATGAAAGAGAATTTATCTTTGCTTATCTGCTTGTGAATCATTCATATATTATTCATGAAACAAAGAGATTTTGACTCTCTCTTCCCCATCCCATTTGTCTAGACATGTAGAGGACTGTGTTCTGTGATCAGACTTAGTAAGACTGAATTAGATTAGTGTATGGAGAAAAGCAGAATACACTTGTTTGCAGAGTTCTGTGCTTTATTGTCCTGTAGAATAAAAAGGAAAGATGGGAGACTAATATGGGCTCCCCAGTGTTTTATTTTGCCAAAGAAAGAATATTTCAAAGAGCAATCCCTAAAGGATACCTCAAAAACTTTGATACTTCATAAAAGAAAGGACACAAAACAGCAAAATTTTGGAATATTATAATCTCAGAGTTGTTCAAGAGTCCACATTGGTGGCCACTTGAACAGAAGAAAGAATACTTTCTTTTTGGAATAGGACTTGGGATTAAACCCCAGCTCTCCTGTCGTTACCTATATAACACTGGCTAAGATAATTAATCTTTCAGAGCCTCAGCTGCAAGATGAAAACATGTATCTCACATGGTTGTTAGAATGCCACCAATGAATGAATGCCACATGGAATTTGGTACACAGTAGGTTCTCAATAAATATCCATTCTCTCCCTCTTGCACCAGATTCTTCCTTTCTCTTCTTACTTACGTCTGAGGATCATTTTGATGTTCAAGTAAGAAAATAGTGAGAAAATGCTTGGTGAACCTTAAAGCACTATTTAAATTTGAGGTTCATGGGACAAACGGTGTTTTGCGTTAAGCATATGCATTTTTCTTTTTAGAAGATATGTGGATAACTGGCACAATCACACTCAGGGAGCAAAATGTAATGACTTTGTCTTATTCCTTGAGGGCTCACACGGTCTTTTGGGTGAAAATATACATAAAATACAGATAGCATTTTAGTAAGTACTGTCCATATAGTGCACATATCTTTTGCATGTTTTTTAAACAAAGAACATTAACCATTCAACTCACAGATTTTCCTGCATGACAAACTAAGGTGTAGTTATAAAGTCCATTGGAGCTGTAAAGTGTTTGGAATTATATTGCAGTAAGTGCTATTGCATTCAATCTCACCCAGCTGTTAGGGTGTTTTATAATGGGATGTAAATATTTATGGCCTGTTTGAGAATAACGAAAGAAAAGTGCTTTTCATTATTTTACTTCATATCCTGTTAGCCAGGTATATCTTTTAGTCTTTCAACACTTTCATAGCTTGGAAAGTGATGTCAAATTTGGGGCAATATATGATTGAGAAACGAATTAGTCTACTTTTGCCACTGTGTCAAATTAGCTGGTAGCTGCTTCTCTGAAGGAGTGCCTTGGGAGCACATACTACGTTTTCTGCGTATTCTTTTGGTACCAAGTAGAGCCTTAAGAATGCTTCTATAGATGTATAATGAATAATAATTGTCCACAGCGAACAAAACCCTTTGTTCTGCAGGGAAACCTGTGAGTTTCACATTCTTAACCTGGTTTGATTTTTCCTGGAGAGTTTTAAGTTAAGAAAAAGTATTTCTGCTTTAAATTCCTTTTCTTCAAAGACAACTTGAAAAACAATTGCATACATTTCTTCAAGAATAAAATTCTGTTTTTAGGACTCAGTCTTGGTTCTGACACTTTTGTATGTGCAGCTCTAAGGCTGTTGCAGCCATCAGAGGTAGTTCACGCAGATGAATTGAAGCTATTGCTCATCACTAAAGCAAATAGGAAAGTCTGGAACACACATTTTATTAAGGAAATAAGAAAAGATGATACTATTTTCATTATCACATACTGTGCTTTACAACATCTAGTTACAGAAAACAGGAAAGGTTAAAGATTCAAAAATAATGACTTAAAACCACTTTGTTCTCAGATCTGTCACTGCAGTTTTTGTTAGATAAGTTTAAATACTGGTAATTGGTTTATGCCAAAGGACAGAGGACAGTCATTTCAAAGCTTTCCTGTTCACAAACTATTAAATTGCTAGAAATAACAATCACAACAAAGTGACACATAATTTAGAAAGAATGTAATTCATGCTTTTAATCAGAACAACAATAACACACACACAAAACTAATAACAAGTATGGAAATGGCACAAAGCATTGAATTCAGTAATAGACACAAATAAAAAGCAACTGCTTGACAAAGACAGCTGTGACTGGTCTATGTGCCCCTCACATCCCCCCACCTCATAAAAAAGATGTTCACATTTGGAAATATGGTTACAAATGTAAATCGCTGATTTCTTGCAAGACCATGACG